GCGGCTCGAAATCCGCGAGACTCGCCATGTTCACCAAGCCGCTCATCACTGTGGACATGCTGCCGCCGCCGAGCGAGGTGTGTGTGTGTGTGTAAGTGTGTGTGAGGGAGTCACAACGCTTCACGCGCGGCGTCACAGGCGCGCGAATTCCTGCGCGTCACGCGCGTCAGTGAGCGCCGAGCTGCGTGACAGCAAGACGCGTGGTTCACGCTTGACAAAAATATCAAGCGTGTTTTGGTAACACTTTATTTTAAGGTGTCCCTGTTACACGTTACATGTACTTACTATTATAATAACAATACATTTTGAATAACTACATGCAAGTAACCCTAAGCCAAACCCTAACCATATACTAAGTACATGTAGTTAATTAATATTACTCAGTACTTAAATGTAAAATTACACTGTAACAAAGACACCTTAAAATAAAGTGTAACCCGTATTTGTACTGTGTGTAAGAGTGAACTCACAGAAGGCTTGGTGAACCGCACAGTCTTCATACAGCTGCAGTGTTGGGGAGTAACTAGTTACATGTAACGGTATTGCGTAATTTAATCACAGAAAAATCGGTTAAAGTTTCTGAGAAAATAATATGTAATTAACTTACAGTTAAAATGTTAACGATTACAAAAGATTACATCTGAATATTTTCACACACAAACAGATTTAATTGACGTCTTTCCCAAATTGCATTGTCTGCTCTAAAATATGAGACACCAATGTTTCGGACACATGCTTATTCAATAACTGTTTTATTTCCTATTTGGGTTTATGCTTTATTTTTTTTTAAGATTAACTGTTTGTGGTGGCTGTGCTTTAAAATGAAATTATTATAACCTTAATTCAAGTGATAAAGGATTTTGAAAGTGTGACAGTAATCAGTGTTGAGTTTTACTGTAACTGAGTAGTGAGTACTTTAATAAAGTATTTGAAATAGTTACACTACTTATTACATTTTAAATAGGGTAACTTGTAATCTGTAACCAGTTGCATTTCCAAAGTAATCTTCCCAACACTGCATATCAGTTTCTGTTAATTGGGCTAAAAATATCTCTGTCTAGAACTGTATGTGTATGTTGGTCATGTCTACTTTAAGAATGTTAAAAATATGTACTTATATTATTACACATGTCATTTATTAACTAACACTGTCCAGCAGAGTCATATTCCTGCATCAAAGAGGATTCGGTTCAGTTCAGTTCTGTGATAAAATTCCCATCACAGTGTCATTTCCACCAAATGTCAGATTATGATTTGCGTTTGATAGCCTATCCTTTTGTGATGGAAATGACATTTTAAAATAGCAGACTGCTTTGTATCGTTTAGAGCTAGAATGATATTGTAATTAACGTTTAAAAACACTGATATGAATCACATTACATTTGACACAACAAATATCGAAATGGTTCATGCTTATTGCACTCCTTGTTTATGATGGTTTTAAACATTTAGGCCTATATAATTCATATTGTAATTACGTTTCATAGTTTTAGAAACAGCCTTTTCAGTGTCAGTCCATTCAAGCTTCAATTTCGACAAATGATGCAAAAAGTTTGGTTACACAATATTTTAAGGTGTCTTTGTTACAGTGTAATTATACAGTTAAGTACTGAGTAATATCAATTAACTTCATGTACTTACTGTATGGTTAGGCTTAGGATTAGGGTAGTCTCAGCCTCAGACGTCACGCCCACGGAACGTCTGATGCATACGGCACACAAAAGTGGAAACACTTCAGGAGTTTCGAAGTCGTTGTCGGATTGGTTGAATTATACAGGATTTCCGGGAGACGTGTGTGTCGCGTTCTTTAACGTTCCGCTTTGAAACAAAGATGGCGTGACGCCAAACCCCCTCATGAAAGAAGAACGCCGTCGTGTTTACAACTGTGACAACGAGCGCTTATCAGTATCAACTAAACTTTTCAAAACTATGTGAAATATTTAGTTCGTGGCACAGAATCTTTAAAATACGTCCGAGAGTTTTACACACCGGTCTGTTATTGTGGCGACATTTCCATGCCCCGAAGCGTGACGCTGAAACGAAACGTACGGTGATTGGTTGTTTGACATTGCCTTGGCCAATGAAAGCTGCCATGAATTCCAGACCTTCAGCTGTCAGTCTGAAGGTCTGGCTATGCAAGACTAGGATTAGGGGTACTTGCATGTAATTATGCATATTTTATTGTTATTAGAATAGTAAGTACATGTAACGTGTAACAAGAACACCTTAAAATAAAGTGTTACCAAAAGTTTCATTGTATGGAAAAGAGTACGGTATTTAACTGTAAATTCAAGTTAAAACCGTAAAACCTAAATTAAAGTATTTTTTACGGTAAAATTCCGGCAACCACAGCTGCCGTTTTTTTACCGTAAATTTTACGGAATTTTATTTACAGTGTACATTTATATTATGATATTTTAATTATTTGATACTGAATTTAGAGTTAATATATTTAAAATGTACCAAACTGCATCTTTATCATTAAAAATGTGTAATTACAATATATTTAAATACATGGCATACAGGTTTCAATATAAATTACATAAAAGTATATTTTAGTTCACTATAAATACTTGTCAATACATTCAGAATTAACATATATATTTAAATGTTTAAATTAACTCTTCTTTTAAAAGTGTTTCTTCACCCACCAGCACCTGTTGAAGAAACCCCCATAAATCTATATCTGTTCTTATTTTCCAGAAACAGACAAATATGCCATGCAGCCAGTGCATGTGTGTAAAACCAGCATGCGATGAGTCAGAGAAACCTCATAAAACACAGTATATCTATTATTGTATTGCTGCGGTTTGACAACACACAAACACACTGATTTGTGACTATAATGAAATTAGGTTATGCATTCTCACACAACATCAGAAATGTGAGGCTAGAGTTGACACGCTCCTGCTCTCAGTGTTATGAGTCTGTGTGAAATCAGCTCAGGAGTCACACAGATGCTCAACCGGTTCACCCACAGACACAGCAAACAACATTACTTACAGTACATCAGTGCATTAGATGTGTCATTTATTTTAAACAAAGATATGCACAAAAGCATAACACTCCATAAATGTTTACTGATAAGTCTACTTCTGGTTTCATTAAACTATAGGATAATGTACAGTCAGCCGGTTATCACTGAGAGGGCAGTCAGGATCTTGTAGGCTGACTCTACATTATCCCGCTTATTACACGAGTAAGTACATCAAATAAGTACATGAACTATTTATTTGAAATCATTGTGCACAAGAAAACAATCCCGAGAGCTGCATAATAATAGTTTATAAATGTCTAATTGAACATAGGCTGTGGGCTAATAGAGTGATTTGGATTGCGAGGTTGTGCCAGCAGCAGACGCTGTAATATCATGCATAGTTAACGCTCAGTGCTGTGAGGAAACATCCGGAAGTGTTTGTGTTTGTTTGAAATGATGGTGCAAGTTTGAAGGGTGTTTCACCAGAAAGACTTGAAAGATTTTGTTTCTTCTTTTTGTTGCAGCATGAAGAACCTAGAGAAGAGGATTGAAAATAGCATGGACTATTACTTTTTATTCAACATCAGTTATCACTCAGTGGGTTATTTAACCATCTGTTACAATGTCTTTGGAAAGCTTTGTCTTTCAAACACATTAAAATGCACAAATTCATATTATTTCTTATTTACCTGAATGGAGGCATTCCCAAACTTGGTTGTCATCTGAACCCTTTTCACCTAATATATTTACTTGAAGAATGTCCTGAGATTTTAAAATTAATATTTAATAATTAAGTATCACATTTTCATGTTCATGGCTCTCTGATGTTGGTTAATGGTCACGTGACATTCAGGTAAACATGTAAAATAATACATTTTTATTTCGATTTATGTTATTTTAAAATGATTTATTTTAATTTTGCATTTTTATGAGTCAATTAATGATTGGCTTTTCATTAAACTCACAAACCCCCTGCAGTACCTTTATTTATATATA